AGGGAAGCGCTCCTTGCAGCAGCCGAGCGATGCCGGCCGCAGCCGCGCCGGGAGCGCCCCCTGGTGGGGTCCGGCGGCGCGGCAGAGGCCGGGAGCGGCTGCGGGGGCTGCGCGGGGCGAGAGCTTTCCGCAGGGAAAACAAACAGCAAAGTCATCCCTGTGCTTCCACGGGAGTGTTCTTAATAATTCGCGAACTATTAAAACCCTACCGATGATGTTTTAAGTGTAATTCCATATAGCAAGAGTTTAAATCAACTCTGTCACACAGTATCTTAGTTGCTATGTTCTCATCTCCTTACCAAAAAAGGTCCCAGCATAGGCACAAGATGGAAGATGACCATTCAGGTACCCTCACAGAAGATGACTGAGATAGAAATTACCTTGCTTTTTCAGTGATCTTTTCTCACACAACCTTTTCCATGCTACTTTGTTTCCAGTGCTATGAACAAGGTCTCAGAGGAACTTATTATAAATCTTCTGGATGCAATGAAGGCTTACATAATTGGAACCTGTAAAATCCTTAGGGTCCCCACAATGCTGAAATAGTATGGAGGTTTTTAATCCCCACGGTCTGTAATCACCTCTGAAAACCCAATCTTCTCTATTTGTAAAGAGATTCACTTGGTTGCTTTGATGTTAAAACACAATGAGCCACAAACAGGTTACTTGGGTCATGTAACAGATGGCACTGAAATCCTTTTGTGAGATGGAGTCATCATCCAAGTGTATAAAATCTCATAAGGAGAAGGTGTATGTATTTCTCAGAGTGCTTGAATGAGATCACATTTGGTAAAAGTCTGAGGAACAAAAGATTTCATAGTATTACTTCTATAAAAGAATGTTTGCAAATAGGTATTAACTATCAAAATTGCTGCACACTTGCACTCCATTACTCAGTGCTCTGAAGATGTGAAAATAATCTGTACAAATAGCACAGTATTTGCAAATAAGAAAGCTTTATTCTTTCCATTGGTTTGAAAGTGTGACATTAATTTTGGCTTTCAAAATCAAAACGGCAAAGGCTTGTTAAAACAAAAAATTACTCAATAGAGAGCACACCCTAGAGATATTTCCTGGCTGTTGTCTTGAAGGGATCTTGGCAAAGATGAATACCATCCTGTTCCCATCAGGTATGTCCTTTACAGAGAGCACAAACAGGCTTTAACTATAAAACTCCTATGAACAGCATTTTTATTAAGTTATTCGAGATAGAAGCCTGGATAGTTTCTCAGATTTGAGTCATGTTGTGATCAGTGAAACACCCAGGAGTACCAGCACAGCAGAACCAGCCCAGCACCTAGCAAGAGCCCATGGGACAGAAATGTGCCAACCCCTTTCTTCCAGTTCCCTGGGATGTTAGTTCACACGTGTCCCTGGCATGGGATCACCATGGGGGAGCAGCCCGGGTGTGTTCAGTGGTCTGCAGGTACAGAGCTCGGTGTGGCTGCGGTTCTGGCACTGCCCCCAGAGCCTTTCTTTACTCCTCACACACACACCCAGCTGCTCGGAAGTCTGAGCTCCCCTGGGCAGGACTTGTACCATCTGGCACAAGTCCCAGCCCTTGGCCCTCACCTGGTGGTCCAGCAGGGCCAGTGCTGGACCAGGGCAGGGCAGAGGCTCCTCCTGCACAATCCACCCTCACACACAGAACAGAGAGCAGGTTCAAAGTGTATGCAACATTTTATTGAAAAAATACGAATGTTCTGTACATAAAGTACAACTGAATGGGCTTGATAAAATCTCCAGAGACTTATTGGTTAATATAGGTCTTCTTTTCTTCTTTTCCCTCTAAGGGCATAAAGCATAAATGAAGCAGCAGGTCCCCTGTACTTGTGCAAGTGCAATCCCATCACTGTGCGTGCAGCATTAGCACCTGGCTCTACACGGGACTCCAACATGCTCAATGTACTTTTGATGGATGGTCTGCAAGAAATTTAAAGCATGGAAGAACTGCCACAGGACTGGTCCTTCAATCCACTGGTGATTCAGAATTTATTGTGAGATCTCTGTTCTCCTAAACAGTCTGCATCTGCATATCCAATATTTCTGACAAATAAATACAAAAATAAATAGGGATCTGGCCTCACACAACCTGAAGTCTCAGAAGCAACAAAACTTATAGCAAGCTACATACATAATTTCAACTATATCAACATAATTTATTTAAATCTCTATCAATAAATGTATTAAAAGTATAAATTCTTACCCAATACTGAGAGTTTAGTTCTGGAAATAAACCCAGAAAAGGAAAGCTTTTTCAGTCCTCTCTTACAATTTAGTGTGCTCTTAGAAAATGCTTTATAGCTGAACTTCAGCAGAAACTAGCTGCTATATAATGCACTTCTATCCCCCAAACCTAATATAAAAAGCTTTTTAAATCTTTTTACAGTAACTGGCTTTCATGTCCTAACTTTACATACAGTTACTAAAAATACTGCACGTAGAAGTGCTGACTAAAAATAGGTTTAGTGTTAAAACTACATGCACAAATGCTGGGGTACCAAAGCAGAAACTGAATAATGTGGCAGCTTCACAATTTATGTTGCTAATTGGATGGTGTAACAAATACTGCAATCCTGAAAGATATGTATGTTGCAAATGGAAAAACAATGAACAGGACTGGATGAGGAGAAAGTGAGGCAAAAAAACCTTTTTTTCTTCTCCATTTAAAACTGGAATGTCCGTAATGGCCAAGAAGGTAAATGTAGACCAGGGTGAGAAGCTTCTAAATCAGGAGTAAATGGTGATGACCTCTCTGCCCCCGCCTCTAACAAGTAGTACCCTCTCCAGACCTTCAGTCAAGACTTCCAGAAACTCCATGTCTGTTTCAGTAAAGTCAAGGAAAGTCAAGGACAAAAAGATCAGAACCAAAATACACAGAGATTAGACCAGGGCCAGCTCACAGCCCTCAGCTCTGCTCTTGCTCAGTGCAAGCACCCCTCTAAGTACCAAAACACTTTGAGTTTGTGGCACTTTTTCCTTTAAGCAATTACTGCCTTACAGCCACAAGCCAGCACTCTCCACTCAGGGGACACTGTCACATATCACAGCTCAACTGCATTGGTGGCCAGATGAATTCAAGAGAACAGATTAAAGAAAAACCTTCTGTGTGGCCCAGGCCTTGACAGAAAGGATACAGTTTTCATCTCCATCAGTATTCTTTGGAGGACCAGGCATGTTGAGGAGCACAAGTCTGGCATCATGGGATCTATTTACAATGACTTCATTTAGCTTCACTGCTGTGTGCATCCTTCGGACATTAGACTGGTTCCTGTAGAACAAGCACATGCAGACTAACTGTTAGAAACACGCCTCTGAACAATGAATTATTAAAAAGGTCCTTTAAAAGCATACTCAAATCTCCTGAATACCCTGCTAAATGTCAACTCAACACAGTGATTTTCTTCAAACTTTATGATGAAGACACAAAAACATTTCTCAGACTTCCTCAGGTACAGCTAGTCCGCTGGTTTTAAGATCTCTGTGAGTCAAGTCTCCAGTTTAGAAAGTTACACTACTCTTCAAAGAGCATACTTGGTAAAGATGACTTAGTGTTGCATAAGAAATTAAAAGAGTTGCACGAGGGGATTTGCTCTTCAAGCAGGCACGGTGGTGACGGGGACCCCTCACACCCACAGCCAGGCACCTCTCCAGACCCAGCACCCCAAACTCTCCCCGTGGCCGGGGAGCCAAGCAGCAGCCTGGCACCACGGTGCCCAGCCCACACTGCCCAGGAGCACACTTCCCTCTCGGTTTCACAGCAGCTGGCCTCTCCAGAGAGAGGCTGGGCTGCTGCAGACTGCAGTCTCATAACGGGGAAATGCAGGATGGCAGCTGGAACAGGCTGGATGTAAGGGGATTGTCTGGAGGATCACAGGGATGTGCAGCTCTCCTTCAGGACACTGATCAACCTCTCTGCCTGGCTGCTTACAAGAAACACTTCTACCCAAGTGTCTTTAAAATCTCAATCACACTTTCAAGCTCGAGTAGCCACAGTTCAAAAGTTAGGGGAGAAGAGGGAAATAGGTGAAGCATAATCTCATATGCCTCCGCTCCATAAGAATCCAGGCAAAGAGGTAAAAGCATTAATTATTTGGAATATGTTAATACAAAATAATATTAATTCATGCAGGAACAGAACTCAAAAGTAACCTTCAGAGATTTCAAGCCAGGGAATGTTTCCTTCTTTCAGGAAATCAACCATTACTTTGGTAACAAAAAAGGAAATACAATACAGAAATAAACTAATCAAAAGAAGAATATATTTATACTTTTGAGGCTTTTCCACTTGAGTTTTTGTCTTCATTTTAATATAGTAAAAATAAGTATTAGTAGAAACAAATTAAAATAATTTATATACACAGAAAGAAGATGCAGTGGGAAGAACCATGTTTATTATGCTAACAGAATAATTTACCCACTGTGCATTACCTCTCTGTTACTTCATGTTCTGATTTAATTTGGAGCAAGGACACTCTCTTGTCTTCACCACATCAGCTTCCGAAAACCAGGGACAACACTGAGGCCAGATTATGTTCACAGGAAGTGAGGAAAAATCCAGCAGCAGGAACATACCAGTTGTTAGCTATGTATAGTTTGGGAAAGGGAGTTGAAAACTAAAGCTTTGGTTTTCTCTAAAGTGATTTTTAAAACTGGCATCTCCCCAGGGATTTGAAGGTGTAGGCTACAAGAAAGGGCTTGTTTAGAGCCCAGACACTGCCAGAAATAACATCCTAGCAGTGCTGTGGAATGAGAGCTTCTCTAAATGAGTAATGTTTCCTCCTCCTGTGTCATACTCTGCTTAGGAAAACAGGTGCAGACTGGAATTGTTTTCTATCCTCAGTTCTTGTCAGGACAGCTCTTGTAGTTTGTGACATCCTATTTACAATGATACTTAGCTTAAGTAGCTAATCCTGCTCCCTTTTAAAACATTGCTAAGACTGCTCAACTCTAGTGCCTGTTCTTCCATCAGTACACAGTTTTCCTGCTTTTAGCTGAGAAAATTAAGTCTTTCCTCTCAACCATCTTAATGTACTTCTAATTTAAATAACAAACTTACAAGTTTTCCCACCCTCTGAAAGCATGGAAGAGGAAAAAGTACAGGTAGTTAACACCAAATTCAGCAGAATTTCTACAGTATGATTCAGCCTAAAACAGATTTGAATTCTGATTTACGAGGAAGAAAAATCTGGAACTTTGCCAAGTATGCAAAACTGACTGAGTTCTTCATGTGAGCTGTAGGACATCAAAGGAGTCACAGGAGAGTCACAGTTTTATACAAAGCCAAAATAGACCTTTACTTCTCACTCTTCAGAGGGCACACACGTGGTAGTACCCCAGCTGCTGTTCCATGTCAGTGCTCCTGCAGCAAGTCTCAGAGGGTTTATCACACAGATGCTATTCCTAATCATTCATCACCATCTCCACAGATTTTTCCTTTATGCATTAAACGTCCACACTACAGACTAGACAGTGAAATTACCATCTTTTCTTTTAAATTCTGATTAGATCAGTGAAATTATCAGTGCGTTTTGTTGAGGTATTTGAGAGACAGAAGCGAAGCTGTCGCAGGATTGAACAGCTCCAATTTACAATTTGGCTATACCAAGTGAAATATTGAGGGATGTGTGCACATTTGATTGGTTAGAGATTTCTGGGGAGGCTGTCTTTTCATAGCCAGGTCTCAATGTTTATAGCACAAGTCCAAACCAAGGATTAGGAAACAAAAGATGATAAAAGCACAGCACATGAAGAGCTTCAAGGGATGCAAAGTGTAGACTTAGACAAGACTCACGGCTTAATGCTGATGAGATCTCTAAAGCTGCCCACAGCACTGCCCCGGTTCCGCTTCTCAGCATCACATTTCTCTTTTGTCCAGGTCATCTGGATATTCTCAGGAACAGGGTCTCCCTCATCTTCTTCATCTGAGTAGAGGCTCTCCAGACGTGCTACTGAATGTCTGTCCTTTACAAGCTGAGCCTGGAGGGCACATGAGTGACAAGGTGAACTCAGAGACTTTTCTTATGCTCTCTGGTGCTCTAAATAATTATTTAAACTAGACTTTTTTGTTCCATTGAATCTTTTATTTTGCTTGCTTAATTTAGCCTTCATGAGAGATCTGATACCAGGCATCTGCCCTAGCCAGAAGTCTTACATACCAAACTGATGTTTAGCAGTTTTGATGGGTGTAAGCCAAGCAGAATTTGGACTGACAGAAGTCTGTATCTATACAAGAAAAAATGTCAGTCTAGCTCACATCATGACATGGTCAGAAACAACAAACAAGACTGGCCCAAAATGGACAACTCAAAAAAAAAAAAGCTTGACAAGCACATGCAGAAAAGATGGATCAACTTTCATAGCTACATGTCACAGACATCATAGTCACATGTCCTGTAAGTCCAAACTAGAAAGACATCTTCAGTAGGAAAACAGGATATGCTATAAACTGACACAAATACCGGATATCCCATATAAAGAAAAAACCAAGAACGACATGCAATTTTGGGAAACAAAAATAGCTACACTAGAAGTATTTCCTTACATCTTTAGAGCACAGGAGTTAAATTTAAGCAGCAGCTACATAACACACTACTATGAAGGCACTTTGTGTCATCCCTCTCAGCAGCCCATTGAGAACAACCACAAATGACATACCTCCCTTTCCCTCTCAGTTTTTGTCAGCCTCATTTGCCTCAGCATTTGAGATCTCTGCTCCATCATAAGAGTTCTCTCGTAAGTATATGCTGAGATATCACTATTGTGCTGCAAAAGTAAGGACAAATATTGTGCATGTAATCAAGTCATTGCCAAACATCACAACATGCACAGTAAAGTGAAAAATGGGTTCAATTCCCTTACCATTTCTACCACTTCTACCTCTGCCTCTATACGGAGTTGGTAGAGGAAAGTAGCCAAATCCTTCTTCATCTGGATGCTGTTATCATCCATCTGAGCAACAGTAAAAATTCTCATTTTGCATTTTCTCCAAACCTGGTGAGGGAACACAAACTCAGTTATTTGAGCCAATAATACTTTGCTCTACAAAACAGAAGCTTAGCAAAATATCCACTCTCATTTATCAACACAGGTTCTACAACTGGACCATGTTTCTTTAAACTGAAGAATGCAGAAACAGGTGGGGGGGGCATTCTCTGTGTAGCTGCTTACTTTGTGCTGTTTGAGAAGAAAAGGAAGCAACATCAACATGCCTCCATCGTGCACAATCCACCACACATCAATGTTGCCTTCGTTGTAGCGCTCGTGGTTGCTGGGGTAGAAAGACACATTTTTGGGAACCAGCAGAGCCAGGTGAGCTGCAGTGGTGCAGCGAACAGTACCTGCCCAGGAAGGGAAGAACACGGTTACTTCCAAATTCTACAAAGAGGCATTTAGGGGTAGAAAAATGCTACTCACTGAGCAAGTGTCAGCAAACCATAAAAGTCATCATTTAAATAAAGTATGCAGAGCAAGGCTTGCACAGACAGGTCAGTCCAAGTGACAAAGGCAGGATAAAGCAGACTTGCAGGAACACAAGCCTTATTTCACACTCCAAAGAAAAGCAGCAACCTTCAAAGTAAGTATGAGACAGCATCTGCTCTGTTCTAATTTGATTAAGTAACTGGACCACAGTAGGAGAGAGATAGAGGGAAGGAGTGTTATCCACTAGTGAAAGATAGGTTAGAGCCAATGATAAAAAGAGATTATCTAGGAAACAAATTACAGTTTGCCACAAAACCAGCGTTCTCAAGCCTGTAATTTTTTTAACCATCCGTTAGACACATGAGTTTTAGCTGCTAGTTTAATCTTTGAAGCTCTTCCTTAGGTCTTTTATCTGCAGGAACTAGTATTTCAAACAGAAATACTCAGTTTTAAGAGAAAATATCTACTTCTCCCTCAATACAAAAAAAGACAAACTCAAAACCAATCTTACAAGGATTCTGTTAAAACTCCCTGATCACTCCAAACCTTTAAAGCTCACCTATAAATGTCTTCCAAGACCTTGGATCTTCACTCTGCCTCCAGCCATAGGGCCACCCCAAAACCACAGTGTTGTGCTTCATGCCACCGAGTCCACAGGACTGGATCAAGTGAGCAATTCCTTCTCGAACTTTATTGGCTACAACTACCTGACAAAATCCTTTAACCTTCTCAATTTCCATCATATTCTTAATAGTCTGAAAGACAGACAAGGAAAGATTCTCAGTTTTCCATTCCAAAAGGGACTCCTAATATTTCTGTGTCATGAGATTACAATGTAAATTCCTGGTTCACATGTCCATAGGTAAAGCATATCATAGTGCAAAGTTCTGCTCATCAGATTTCCTTAATAAAACAAAAGAGAAAACACCCACTTGTTTAAAACACAGTTTCTTTCCAAACATAATCATTTCTAATAGACTGAAGTAAGGATTTTTTTGTTTTGTGCTGTCATCTCTTATTCATATTAGCAGATAGTGATATATATCTGTGTTACTATTTTACTTCCCATTTTCTAATCCTATAACACTCACCTTTTTAAACCCAAGGCCAATTGACTTTATTTGGATTTCCAGTTTCAGATTCCCATGTAACATACTGTATTATATTAAATACACAAATATAAGCACCAAATCCCACACATGAGCAAGTATACCTTTTATTTGTTTAAAAACTAAATAAACTTGATCAACACATAGCCCATGAATTAAGTTTTCCTTTTGTAACAATTTTCCTACAGAAAAAGTCTCTGGGTAGAAAACAAATATGCTGATACTATACAGATATAAAAAGGGCTGTGATATCATATATACACAATGAGGAAGTAAGTAATTTATTAAAAAATTTTCAAGACCATCCTTCAATGCTTTTTGCAATATATTTATCAACATACTGAAAAACAACACATTTGATAGGTTTAAAAGTTACTGAAATAACAGAATCACTGAACTATTAGGTTAGAAGAGACCTCTAAGATCATCAAGTCCAACCTATGCCCTAACACCTCAACTAAACCATGGCACCAAGTGACACATCCAATCTTTTCTTAAAGACATGCAGTGATGGTGACTCCACCACCTCCTCATGCAGACAATTCCAGTACTTTATCACTCTTTCAATAAAAAACTTCTTAGTTGGAATATTCAGAAAATTAAATAGCCCTCTTCCTTCCATTAAGCAGTATACAGAAACTTCTATAGCAATTATTTCCTATACATTGAAGAGAGTTTTATGCAGTAAGGCTGTTTACAAACATGAGCATTGATCCTGCATTCCCAAAGGCACAACTGGCAGCTGAAACAGGTATGCAAGTCCTTTACTGAACAGCTGTGGTACTGCTGAATTTACTCTGTGTTTCATGGAAGCCTTATTAATATGCTTTTTAACACGTAGGATTAGGAAACAAAATTTTGCATTACCTGCCCACTCACCCCTTTCTACTTCAGGATTTAGGACACTGACCTGCTCAGCAGCCTGGGCTTCTCCATAAGTTTCCAAGAAATTCCCTTGGATGACTGATCCTATAATAGTCAAACCTTTACCAGCTTTCAGCTGGGAGGCAAATGTTAACAGTCTAGGGTATTTCACATGCAAATCTTCATCAAGTTTCAGAAGCACCAGCAACTGAGGCCTGCAGAAAATAAAAAAGACAACATATTTTTTAACTAAAGGTTTAACAATGACACATGTAAAAAACTGCCTCTCATCGCTTACATTGTGCTTGAATATTAATTCTGAAACAATCCTTCTGTATCTCACACATTCAAGGGGTTTTACTTAATATTTTGTTTCTCTCAGCTTAAAGCAGAGGTGAAACTGTGGGAATTCTACTGCTGCATTGTGCTGACAGTAATAAAACCTGTTGATATATTCAGCTTGAGAGGCTTGCACTAGTGTTTTATTTACAGGCATGTTTTTCAAGGCTCTTTTAAGTACTATTGGAGCACATAGTGTTCATATTGCAGGGCTGTTCTCCCAGATCTGTCTGGATACTTGTGCCAAGAAAATATCAGTATTCTGCATTCAGAAACCTGGCACATGGCAAACACAAATATTTTCATCTAAACACAGATCCCACCTGCTTTCTGTTCCTTAAGCTACTGCTACACAATCAATCGAGTTGCTTTCTGTCTGGCTGAACAAGTATAGAAGTATTTACAAAACTCTGTCTTCAATAGATTCCTCTTGGTCTTGTTCAGAGCCCAAGGGTTGTGCAATGCCCAACCAAGAGGAGGGCCCTTGCCCATTAATCTGTTTTCAACACCAAGTAGGGATGACATGAGAATGAATAATGTTGGCCACTGGTCATTTCCTGGCCTCTACACTTCTGTATTCAGAGACCTCCAGTTTCCCCAGGTTCCACTTCTGAATTCACCAGTTTGGAGCCCAGTTAAAGATCCAAAGGGCACTAAAGGTCTGCCCATACAGGGTCCACACAGCAAGGCTTGGCAGTGACATGGCAGCTTACTGAAAACTCAACACTTTTTTTAAAATTCTGGGCATTTAAATTCATTCACACAACTTGTTTAGAGTCCAGTTTAATGACAGCCATTTCATCAGTGCAAGGTGAGTACCTCCAGTTCTTGGTGTGTGGAGGGCCCTCCTCCAGTCTGAGTAAGGCGTACCTCGCTGCGCTCAGCGACAGCCCCCGGATGCCGTCACCCCACTCCTTCTCTGCACTGTGAAGAACAAACAGGTCAGCCAACACAAGGCCCCACGAGCACTGAGCTGCACACTTACAGTCAGCCTAGAGAGATCTGAGCACCTTACAATGAGTTTGACATCGTGACACACAGCACAGATCGCATCCACGTTTATAATTTGTATGTGAATGGCTGCGGTATCACAGATCACATAAGAAAAGTGAAAATGCTTCAGTGAAATATATATGATGAACCACCATTCTGGGCTTAATCTGTAATCAACACCACAGAGAAGGCTTCCCAAGCATACACAAACATCTGGCACTTCAACACTCTGTTTAGTTATTAGGCCAAATTAAGCCACAAAGCCACACTACAGCCTGACTGCATCCAACACTGATCTCCAGCAACCCAAGCAGCAGATTCAACTTTTCAAGGACTGTTCTAGACAGACCTTTGCACTAGACAAAGTGGAATATAATGGATGGCATCAGCTGTTCTGGGCCTGAAGTAATCATGTGCAGTACACAGCAGATAGATCCCAACCAGTTTTCTACTTCCTGTGATTCATGTTTCACATAACACCTATAGAAGTTTAACAGCAAAGTACTTCAGGGGCTTTTGCTTAGCAGTGACACAGTAAAATAATGAAAATAAAAATTAACTAATAAGGAAATCCCTCCAAGTCATCTCTGGACAGTTCCTTTTCCAAATGTGAAGACTAGAGATAATTCATTAAAGAGATCCAGTCTCTTTCTTACCCTTTTTTATCCCATTAATACTTACCCTTGGTATTCAATGTACTTGTAAATCATGCCTGCAATAAGCATAGCTACCAAAGCATAATACCAAGATGAAATGAACATCAGTGCCAGGCAAATACTCATGCCTAAAAATGAGAGGGCCCTAAAACAAAAAGCAAAGGCATTAATAAGTAGTGAGGCAGAAAAGCTTAAAAAACAAGTCAATCACATTCTTCCTTTTTCTTTAAATCGTCTATGCTGAACTGCAGTGAAAGTAAAGCCTCCAATGGATCTCCTGAGTCCCACCAGTTTTAGTATCCTGTTGTTAAAATTAAACTCTTGTGCCATGACATATCTGAGTGGCTCGTGTACAGCTGATACCCAGAGAAATAAAAGATGCTCCCTGTCCTGCAGGAGGAGGCTCTCAGGTGCAGACTGCAGGCTCAGAGAGGTGCCAGCCCTTCACTCACCAGTGGTAGTATTTAAAGCGGGGCCGCCAGTTCGGGGTTCTCAGAAGTGTCTGGACTGCACATGCAAGATTAACAAAGAGATAACACATCAAGAAAAACCTGCAAAACAAAAAGTGCAAAACCTTTTAGCAAGCACAATTATAGATCCTGGTATATATTATAATTACATGATTGATTTCAAGTCAAACTCCCACTGCCCTATCACATGTCCTGTCCCCCTACCCCTCTGATTTTTATTAGCCTGAACTATCAGCATAAAGTAGTCAGAGCAATTTTTTAAATGCATCAAGTTAGATCTGTTCACAACATAATACTGTCTTTGTTCTGTGAGTAAATGTTTTTCCAAACCAAATAAAGATATAATAAAAACTTGCTTATTCACAGAATACTCCAGAGCAGAAACAAACAGATTTATATGTAGAGTCTGAAGTCAGAGGATTCATAGGAATTACAGAAGTGGAACTCAGGCTCTGGGAATTTGATTTACTGGTTTTAAGATAAAGTAATGAAAGACAAACCAGCAAAACTCAAGAGTATTTCTATTGACCCTCCAAGACACCAACCAGGCTGTTCCTTACATTGAGAGGATTGGAGCCACCATGTCAAGTGAAGCAATAAGGATTCCTAGCTCAGCAATTAATGCTGTTAACAGAAGAGCCCATGTCGGTTCACCATTTGCTTTTCCATGACCAAAGATCTGAAGAAACAGAAACATTAAGCATATCTTCCAGGTATTTCATAAGGTTGTAATGGGAAAAAAGCAAATTACATTTTTTTAAAATCAACAGTAATTCTCCTACATATTTCCTTCTCTAGAGCAAGGAGTCAAATTATTCTAACGGCTTGCCATGCTTCACAGAATTAAATGTTTGACTTCTTGATAAAATCACCCCACAAATCAAGCTAAAAATCCTCAGAAGCATTCTTTGCTTTCAACAAAAGAAAAAAAACCCAAAATAAAAAATATTGCCCCTCACTTCAGCACTGGCCAAACTGGGGAGCATAAATGAGATTTTAAGAGCATGAAGTCAGTGAGGCAGAGTGAGCAGAAAGCCCTTGAAGGCATACACACCCAGAGGAAAGGGATGATGTTGTCCTTGGCTATGGCCTGCAGCAGCCTGGGGGCCCCCGTGAGGCTCTGCAGACCTGCCCCACAGGTGGAGAAGAAGGACCCGATGACGATGACCCAGGGCGAGGGCCAGGACAGGGTCCCCACCACCAAGTTCTTGTTCACAGCATCACCGAACCTGCAGGCAGAACATTTGTATCCAAGGACTGCTTTCAGACTCATGCTTGGGGCTTTTGTGTCAGCTTTAACTTGGCATTCAGATACTATTATCAATAATACCATAATTTTAATATGCTATACTGTATTATTAATACTACTCTATCATTTTCTTAGCTAGAAAACAAAGAAAGTAGCAAATAATCTGAGTTACTTTTGATATACAGATTGGAGGTGTCTGCAGCTGGATTTCAACTTTTCATTATACATGTTTTTAAATTCTTGTCTGATTATCACAACATTATTTTTTACTATCACCAAAAAAATGCAAGATGTAAGACACAGGAAAATGAGGGTGCCATGCCAGAAAACATCAAATGGAATACAAGAAGATTCCAAAAACAGTGTTTACAATTTACATACAAATGTGGCTTAAAAAGGCACCCAGAAGTAAAAATTACAAAACAGTTAATTTTTTTTTTTAATTAAAAGAACAAGGAGAGGAGTGGGGCATGCAGACAAACAAGCAAGAACACACCTACACTGCAAAACAAAGAAAAACAAAGGAGAGCATTAAAGCAGCAACACTTACTTATCTCTCAGGACAACACCTTCTATGCAGGCTCCAAATAATAACACACAGCTGAAGTCTGGAGGACAGAGTGTGCTAAGGAAGCAGAATTTATTTAGACATGGCAGATGAATGTATTGTGGAAAGGACAGTACGTGCCTCCATCCCATGGCACTTGCACTCCAGCTTCTCCACAAGTACAGGGAAAAGCTGGCAAAGAAATTAATGTCTCACTGCTCACATACACCTTCTAATGTTACAGAGAAAGGTTCTTCTAAGATTCAGTTTTTACAAAGGACAGGTTTAAATGTTATGATAAAGGAGGAAAAAAAAACAATTGAAGCATTTTTATTCTAAAATGTCAATTTAATCTTCTGCTACTACCAAAGCTGACATTAAAATCATTCTTTTCTCTCTCCTTCTCTTGTGTCTGAAGATATTTTGAACATACAGAAAACCATTACCTTGCACATTCTTTTTTTGTATCTCTGCTGGTATTCACATCACCAATAAGTCTTTGACTATCAGGTTTGTTATTAACTGTACTGCTTCTGCATTGGGGACTACAAAATACCTCAGGCTTTTCGGACCTAACATTCCAGTAAAGCTTTTGCTCTTGTTAATTAAGTTCACACAAATGGTTAAATCTTGAATTCTACCCCTGAAATGCCACTGTAAGTCACAAACTGCAATAAAAGGAGAAACATGGCTCCTGAAGGTGACAGTGTCAGCCTCCCCAGGGTGCACATCCAGTCACCCACTGGGAGAGGCCTGAGCTCAGCAGAGCTGCGGGTTAAGGCTCTGACCTGTTTTAATATTCATTATGTCCACAGGAAATGCTGCTTCTTGGTACAGGGTCAGTTCCCAAAGTGACAGCAGGGAAAGGCTGCACTCCTAAGGAGCTGGGACAAGCAAGCTGGATCCTGATTTACAGCTTGGCAAGTTTTGGCAAAAAACAGGAATGAAACAGCAGAATTTCCAGGAGAGTCACCATCTAGGCGAGCTGCCCTTTGGGTGAGACTGATTCAGAAAGCTCTTTTGACTTTTTTTTAAATTTTCTATGTTGATAAATTGTCCTTTAGAACACCAAGAGCTAGATAAAGCTGAGAGATCTTGGCTCATCTCTTGTTTAGCAGGAGAGCAGAGATGAAGACAGTCTTTCATAAGCAAAGCTCCTGTCATCCTAAGCCCTGAAAAAACACTTGGGAACATTTAGTCTAATTTCTGACTCCAGTTTATCTTGTTCTAAAATGTTCAAGAAAACCTATACTCCTTAAAGTCACTCCAAAGAAAAGGCTTTTTTTTAAAAAAAGGAACTGAAATTTATGAACTCTCCCGTTAAAGCCTCCCCTCATCTTAATGTTTCACTGCAACCTAAAAATAAATCTCCAAGTACACCAGTCTGAAAAGCTATAGATCACTGTGCAGCAAAGAACAGCAATGGGAATGCTAAAGAAAAGAACCCACCACAAAAAGGGAGATGGAAAGTAACGGGATAATTACAATTCTTTCAGCTCAAAGATTAATGTTCTGTTGTTGTTTTTGTTGGTTTTTTTTCCACTGGTCAATCCTATTTGCACTGACAATTTGAGCTGAAAGCAGTTCCAGAAATCAGATACAGTGTACCAGCACTCCAGCAATTTTAAAAGGATACAGACTAGAGATGTGGTGACAATGGCAAGAATTGTTCCAACAGGGATGGATTTCTGTGCATCTTTGAGGTCTCCTGATCTGTTTGAACCAGCCATGATACCTGCAAGGACACTGAGGTGAGATCACAGAGCAGGAGGAAGCTCAGAGCCCCAGGGAGCCCCTCGTTCTTACCAGTCACTGAAGGGAAGAAGATGCCAACCAGCACCATGAACGACGTGGTGATGTCTGAAAGCACGTACAGGTGCAGGTTGTTCTTCTGGCCTGCTACATCCACAGAGGGCTGATGTGCTCTCTCCAGGATCTCTCCTTTCTCCAAATAATTGCTCCATAAGTTGTCTTCAAGGTTATTATCACGCCACAGAAAAGAAAAGCATGTTTCAGTTCAAACCTGTTCTCATTGTAATGGGTTTACAACTGAGGATTACAAAAGCAGTTCAGTGATCAACACAGGAAAACCTCAAATATGTATCAATAGCCTACAGAAGTCTAAGCAATTTAAACTTTATTATTACTAAATTACTAACATTCTTTTAACCTCATATCTATTTCAACCCAAGGAAATACACTACTTTTACAAGCCACCATACCACACAGTGGCTCAGAGAGCTCAAAGCAGCAATATTGACCAGTTTTCTAGACAGAAATGGGTTTGTTCTTCAGTCAGTGGAAGAATTACAGAATTAAGGGACTGGCATTTGAAATTTCACTAACAAATGCTGAGTCTTCTTGTAATCTTAGAAACTAGGCTGCTGGTTTCTGTGAAAATGGGAACCTTCAGCACTCACGAAGCAGCTGCTCTCTGGTGCTCATTTCAATAATGAACACTTTTCTATTATACTTTATTCAGGAGTGGGCAAAGAAGGGGACACACTATTTCTATACAAGTCCTCTTATCTTTCAGGGCATAATCTTAACCTGTCTAAAGTAGAGAGCTGCCACTACAGAGTTCTAAAGGTTTTTAATAACTTACTCATGCTAGTATAACTTAAAATTACAGCTGACTTCATGCTGAAATTATGATATGAACAAGGGAAATTTAATAAATTTTATAGGAGACAAGCACTGTATCAAGACAAAGGTTTTATCTTCTCTTTTTAAAGGTTGTAAGACTGGACTTTATTGAAGATAATTTTCTTCACTGTAATTACATTTCTTCATTCCTTTTTTCTTAACCAGCAGGGAAGCGTTTGACCCATTTCAGCTGCTCAGCATGCCTCCTCTTTAAGGGGAAAAAAAAAAGTTCTACCATACCTATTAAAATGCCACTAGCAGCTCCTGGGATTCCTGCTATCTCTGAGACATTGTTCATCAGGAAATATTCATCACAGTGCTCGGTGGTTAAGTTTGTGCTGTGGCAGAAGAGCTCCCAAAGCTTAGAGGCCACAGTTATGTTATCCTTAACTACAGTTTTGGCACAAACATCAAACTGATCTCTTGACAGAGTCCTGTTGCCCAACATGCAGATCCTGGAAGGGAAACATGAACACCAGAGTTATTGGATGTTACTGGGAAAATGAAATCCACGCTTGCCCATATTTATTCTTTTATAGCATGTGGAAACTTCAAGGGGTTCTACTGTGCTACATCATTTCTCACCTTCAAAAGGATAACTGTAGCATGACAAAGATTGCATCTGCTCCCTTTAATGGCCAGAAGTATAATGCTACTTTTCTGATTCATGGAATTTGACTGATTTATCTTAAACAGTAAGGACAATTTTGGGGCTTTTTGTTGTTTGGGGTTGGTTTCTTTTTGTTTATTCAACAGAACTATTGGAGTGTAAGGAATGCGAAGAGAATTAGAATTCAAATTACTAGATATTTAGAATATTTAAAAGATATTTGGAATCTCATCAACCCAGTTTCTATATTGCAACACAGACATTTAGATTCAGAATTAGGAACATATATTAAAATCACAATAAGCAAAGGTTCTTCTCACCAGCAGATACTGTGCTTAATTGCCAAAATGCTCCACAGCCTGTTGTGTTCCATCTAACCATAAACATCATTTATTTCAGCACTGAAAAATTTTTAACCCACTTGTCCAAAGACAATTCCACAAGACAGTGATGTAATGTAACAGCTTCCTGCTATTAAAAGTTCATTCAGCTTTTCTTCCCACTATCAGAAAACACCCACAGGAAAATAAAGTTTCTTCTAATTTAATTTTAATTAATTTTAATTCCATTTTAATTGTTACACGGGTCTTATTTATCACTGAAGACAGGAAAATGGAAAACACAGGGCTGTTCTTGCACAATTTGCAAGCCTGTGAACTGTAACTTCCAAGAAGCCTTCCCCTACAAAATTAAAAATAAATACACTATCTTGGTACTTCAGAAAAAAAAACAGAGGAATACAGTCCAAGAAGAAAGATAGGGAAAACATTCACGAACAATCTAAGAGATAATGAGGGGGATGTAGAGACATTGTTTTACTTTTACTGCTGTAAACCTTCACTGTTGTAAAACACTATAATCATTGGGCCTTAAATATCCAAAGGGAACACTTGAGGGCTGCAAGTACTTAGTTATGGTCAAAGCATTTCAGGAGGTGAATAATTATGCAGATCCAACTCCTCTATTTCCATTCCATTCATCTCCTGTCAGCAGTATCAGAAAACACAGTTTGCATTCCTGGTAAAACACATCCATCCACATTTCTGCTGCTCCAGCTCCCAGTTAAGAAGCTGATTCCACGTTTAGGTGCCAACATGCCAAGGATGTTGGGTCCAGGGCAGGCTCCTCACAGAGCAGGGAAAGTTCTTCTGGAGCCTCACACAGCCCCACATCACACTGCCAAGAGGTGCACAGTTTCTCAGCAAGGAGTTGACCACACCATGAATTTCCAACCACGAAGGCAGTGTGTGGTGTCTGACTGGCCCGGGGAAAAGGAACCTGCCAAACTGCTCCCTAAGAACTGCACAAATAACCCAGCAACACCATCACTCCAATCCCAACAGCTGCAGGCCAAGAGACTGGGCTGGCTTTGCAAGAAGCAGAGCTGTGTCAGCCTCCATCAGCCTCACCACGAACCAAACCAGCTTAAAAAACGTAATAATATGTTCATTTTAGCCTAAGAAAGTTCAGTGCCATGAGCTCTGCACACTGCCATTATGCACAGCTAAAAATATTGGAAGTAATTCACAAAAAAGTGTAGCTTCAACAATGTGTGAGGCACAAGCTTTAAGTAACCTGCATTAAAGCTCAACTCCCAGACCCACAGGCAAAGCCACAACCAGAAATATTACTCACGGAAATTCAGGTGGATCAAAGATGGACTTGATAGCTCCAGCATAAATGGACAGGATGGATATTACTACACAGGCCAGGAAGAGGGAAGCAAATTTGTTGACATATTTCACACCTACGAACACCACCACTGCCATCAGGATGAGGAACACAGTGCCATACACCCTCATGTTGTTCAGCATGGCACTGGATGCATCATGGGCACCAGATGGATGGAAAATTGCTGCTTGTGGCACAATGTATGTCTGAAACAAAGAGAAAGAAAAAGTGAGCTGGAGGAACACCAGCACAGAGCTCTTCTGGGATCGTGTGCCTGCACTAGAAATGTAAAGCACTTTGCATTCTGCAGCATGCTCTTCACTGGGAATCTTTTACAGGAAAAGGCAAGGGATAACAGCCCTTTCTATGTCAGCACTACAACTGAACCAACTTTATCAAAGATGAGCATCAGTCTTGGATTAAGTCACATTTTCATCTGTGCTGTCAGAAGAGCTCCCAGGCTCTATACTCAGAGTGTGCAGCTTCCAAAGGGAAGCACTAGAGGTAAAGAATTGGACACCAAGGAACTGGAGACCTTCCCGTAAATGTGTATGCAAATACGGGACAAGAATACTGGGGCACTTTCTTTATGTTATTTGTCTTTAAAGCAGGATTACTCTGGTACTACTCACCAATAAAATCTCAATGGCACCAAGGATATACATGGCTCCTGCAAATGTTGTTCCCAAATAAAAACACAGCCCTACAGCTCCACCAAATTCTGGGCCCAATGACCTAGATATCATGAAATAGGAGCCACCAGCTGTGAAACAAGAAAAGTGAGAGTAAAATTATTATTTCATGCTATAAATGTTTAAATAGCCACAAAAGAGTACAACAGAATTATATACACTGTATCTGCTATTTTGATGTTCAACTGAAGTATCTGCAGACAGGTAAAAACCAAATAAATTGATCTTTAGCATGACTGATAACAAGAAGAAACACTAGATATTAATTCAGGCTTTGTATTCTGGATTAAACAAATTTCTCAAGAATAAAACCACAGTAGCAGCTTACAGCAACTTAGGTTTTAGAGGTTTTTTTATCTTTTTAATACAACTGAGACATTTGCTGACTACACTTACCTGGAACAACACCGTTTGTGGCAATTGCACTCATTGATATGGTTGTCAACATAGTCTGGGGAAAACAGGGAAAAGGAAGCAATTGTGTCAACAACATTTTTTTAAAACATAACTTATTCCTTGATAAAATAAAGCTGCCACTGCATATAAGATACAGCATTTCTATTTATTCTGCCTGTCATTATCTAAAAGAAAACAAGGGCAGCAGGAATTTAATCACTGAGCTGTTGAGACTTCTGTTTGAGAGATGGCCCCTGCTTTATCAGGTCAAACAGTGGGTGTCTGCACACAAGGCAAGGTAACAGAACACACGTGTTCCTCCATCTCCATCTGCAGATTCCAACCAAGGCTGGTCCAGCAAAGCAGGCAGCCCTCACCTGGGGTAGGCATGAAAAAACAGCAATTTGCTGAACCAACACTATTTATAAGCCTGTATTTACACTACAGTTTGCCAGTTTAGAAGTAACAGTAAATTTATTATTTTTTTAATCCTGCAGCTATGAATATGGCAAAGCTGCTTGGCTTAAATCTGACTTAATTTTACACAAACATCTACAGTGCTGCCTCCCCAAGTTTCTCAGTAGTTTCCCAGAGGTTATGTCACATGCATTATTGTACCTAGGCACTTACACAACAGCAGCAAAGCAATACAATCAGGAAGGACTGAAGAACTCCAGCCATCCCCACCATCCAAGTCAGCCGAAGGAAGAGAATAACCCCGAAGATATTCTGCATGCATGGCAAATACACCCCCATCAGGGTGCCCATGCTGGGTGACTGGAAAAAAAAAAAAAGAGTTGGCATTCATTAGCTGAAATTATTCAAAGCAGAGATAGCCAAAAAGGCCTTGAAGTTCAGTTTTTTAAAGGGCAGAAACCTAAGGTAGACACAAACAAATACTGTTGTGCTGGACTTCCACAAAACACAATCTAAACTCCAAAATCATGAAGTTCTGAAGAAAATGCTGACCCTGTCACATACTGAAGTAATTATCCTCAGTATTTAACACTGACTAGTAACAAGAGGATATATTTATTTGGTTTTCTGTAGATTCATAGAACTTTTAGTATGAAACATGTCAAGTGCTGCAGACCCCAAGTAAGACAGATCCTTACCAGACTGCCCAGAGTGCACAAACTAGTTTCAAGGAAAACCTACTTTTGTCATGTTACCACTAGAAAAGAGTTGGAAGCAATCTAGAGACATAGATAATGTCTTTTCTTCCATTTATATATTCCATATATATAAAACTAATGGTTCTAGCCTTTCTTAAGTTCAGCACCAGATTCTGAATTAGTTTTGACTGAGACAACACAAGCTACATGACAGCAACTGCACGTGGCTGGCCTTCAACACAGCATCCTGCAGAATAATCATCCAAAATAATGGCATCAAAGTACCACTGGTAAGGGCTTTATTCCAAGGAATATAAAAATGTTTGTTGCATCGGTACACCTGGCACCAGCAGCATTTCAGAGTCCCAAATCTCTGTGGTTTCCTGCCAAGATATTTCAGTGCATCTGCTTTTTAAGGTTTCATTTTGCATTTAAAATTATACTGAATTCTAAAACACAGGGGGAACAGAGTGTCACTTCTGAAAGGCCCATCCCTTTTCATACTCCCTTCTATAAATAAACATGAATTCCAAAACACATTAGATAGACAGCATTTAAAGAAGCCCTTGAAAAATCATTCAGATGAGAAGGATATTAAAGGGAGATGACAAAACTTGTTCAAATTTGACTCCACAAAGCATTAACTCGATGCAAAAATAAATAGCACTTTATAGGCAAATGAAGTCATGAATTCAAAGCAACAGTATGTAAGACAAGCAATAAAAGGTGTGCCAAAAACTTTATATAAGGTAATTCAAGAGTATATTTTACTACAAAAAGCAAAACCCTTAAAGAATCACATGTTTATAAGATCACTGGGTCAAAAGCAACCAAGGAATTTAGTGCTTCAACTTGCAATCACATGTTACAATGCAGAATTCCCTCATCTGCACTAGAAACCTGCCCTGCCAGACATGAGACAAAACTGTGCCCAGGAACATGATCTGAACCACTCTTCATTACAAGTGCCTGGAGTTGCTGACTGAATTTTTTGAAGTCAGCTTAAAATTCTTGGTGTGACTAAAGCTGAAACAGATCAACCAGACTTTTTTCATGCCCACTGCAGCTCAGGTGAACCTCCTGAAGGAAAGTGGGCAACAGAATCATGTGCTGAGGGTTTGCAGTGGAGTCACCCTATGACACCTGCAAGCATGGGGACAGAGCTGTTCCTCAGCTGTTCCAGTGCCACAGTATAAAAAAAAAATTAATTCCCTAAACCATCACCTGCCATTTTATAAAAATTACCATCCTAAATATGCAACTTGATCAGTTTTGCCAGGATTATGTATGAGGACAAAATGAATTGTTGTCGGATAGTAACAGAAATGACACTTGCTTCATGGACTATTATCTATAGTGTACTTGTTTCCTCAGGGAAGGGAAGGTGTAAAGTAAATACTTTTGATTCCAACACTTTCACCTGATTCACACTGTGTCTTTAACAACAAACATAAACTCAAAAGACTAAAAAATGTTGCCAGGCACTGGGCAGATATTGCCCAGCACAGGGGCTTCCCACTGCCACATTAATGCACACTTTGCCTCTAAAGGACACACTCCCATAATTTTATCATCATCTATCTGACCATTCATCCCTCACAACATCTCTGAACCCATCAAGTGAATTTGTCAGGCGTGGGTATCTCAGGATAAAGGAGTTAAAGAGTTTGTCAAAACTGGCATTTGGGAGAAGGAAAGAAGCCCATCCCGAGAAGCAAATGGACCATTGGTTATTGTGTTTTCTACAGGACAGTGCTTCACACACTATGAAAGCAGGTGAGATTTCACACCCTTTACACACCTCCCAACACCTGCTTCCTTTGCATAAGAATCCACTTTAGCTCAGCTCTTTCCATCTTCTGCCCTATGTGGTCCCTGCAGCCTTGCTCCACCTTTCCATCATCTTCTCCCCCTCCCTCCTAAGTGGCCTCTTAAGCCTATCAAGTTACAAGCTCACTTCGACCACAGAGGAAGAGCAATTGTGCATTAGCTCTACGCTTGTGAGACCACTGCAGAGCAGAGCAGCCTAGGAAATGCCCAAGTGTCTGCCCAAGCAAGTATTACTAAGTGTATCTTAGGCATAAGAGCTTAGTCTGGATTATCTCACCCTGTGGAAAAAAAAAATACTCATAAGAAAGAACGATTTTCAAATACTACTTGAACCAGCTTGTTCACAGAAATATTTAACACCAGTAATCCACAGTGACTTGATCCTTTTTATAGCATCTAATCATCACTAAGTGATACAAAACCACTGCTAAAGTTTCAACAGGCTGTGACCTGAAACAAGGGTATTATTATGTTCAGCCTCAACAGCAACCACATGAAAAAATGTAACACCCCATGCTGCATAAAGGAAATAAAAGAGCCATTTTGAAGAACACTGTTTTAGAACAACCAAGAAGGGACTGAAAAAATCTCGAAAACAGTCTCAGTTTCAGTGATGCAGATCATGTTTCTGTTCAGTCTCATCAGCTGCAGACACATAATTTATGTAAATATTGATCTGAGTCTGAAGGACACTGTTTCTATTGTGCCAGTGTGATGGGTTATTGAAGCACTTGGCTGCAGGGACATTGATCAGCAATGACAGCTCTCACGGCTGCACTGTGGCATGAGGACACCCAGCAGCACAGAAATGAACTGCCTTGTTAAAGACACATGAACTACAACAGTTTATCTAATTTTTTCCATCATGAGAAGGGGATATTTCTACAGCACTGCGACTCTTAAGTGTTTTATTGCAAGACTGTATTTAGAAAAGAAAAAAACACCAATTTCCACCTTATTACATTGGAGTTGTGTCAATTTTACCTGATGTGTACCTAACAGAGAATGCTTCTACCAAAAGTATTTAGTGGGGTTGCTGAAACAAGATATGTTCATATTAAGATGTCTTGCACTGAAACGAAATGAATTTCAAAGGACATGATTTGGCAGGCAGGGCTGTGCTAAGTGCCAAAAGGTCCTCACCTGCCTCACCTGCTCAGAGAATTACTGAGCTTTCAGTCACTGCCTGAAAGGATTGCTTTCCTCTTTAAATATCAATTCACTTTGAAATATCAGATCTAGAGCCTGCTCATCTGCCTTGCTCCAGCTCTTGCCCATGAGACGCCAATTGCTGCAAGTGACAGGCAGGTCACTCTTTGTCACAGCAGCTGAGCACACCCAGTGCAGCACTCACCAACGGGGGTTAACAGTGCTTTATCCACTTCAAACAGACCTGCTGGAGCTGGAATGGACTGCCAGACTGCAGTTCCCATGCTCAAGTGGGAAAGATAAGGTAACAGCAGCACAGTGATTTATACTTCAAAGATGATTTTTAAAGTACATACAAGAATCCCACTTGCCCTGTTTCTGAATACCTTCAATCCATACCCTTGTCCTGTTACTGCTTTTCAATTTCCTGGGTTTAATGGTTATAATTATTGGCCAGGGTTTTCAGTCGTCTTATATTCTGCATGATGTTTAAAATTTTGTATTGCTCATGGCAAGAGAGGGAGAAGAAATTCAACCTGCAGTTATGATATTGCAGCTGATGTAATTTATCCCAGAGACAGACATGCAGACAAAGGTTCGCCTAAGGAAACTGCAGTGTTTACACAGAAAACACTGAGATATTAATACAGCGTGATACTGTCACTTTTGGAAAGGTCACCAAACCCATTCTACAAAAAACATCTGAGAAGCCTGTGAACACACATTTTTGGGACATGGGAAAGCCTAATTCAGGAAAACACAGTTATTAAACCTGAACTCCATTTTGCCATAGAAGCAAAGCTTTAATAAAGATAATAAACCTTTTTAATGGCAGTAAACAGCTTGAAAATAGGCAAGCATGAATCATACCTAAATGTAGAAATATTAACACCACACCATGCCTGGTACTCTATCAGTTCTCAGTTTTCTGGTATTTGCCCCATTTTTACCTTGTGAAGTCTTACATAATTTGCTTTAACCATCTGTATACTACAGTCCCATTGCCAAATTCTCCCAATTCTTTTTCCATCAGGAATGCAAGGGACTAGCTTCCAGGTTGCTCTGCATCTTACCCTGGTATTCTGGTCAGGCAATTAATAAGGAAATAAAGAGCAAAACTGATCAGAACTTCCTCAAAATCACAAGAACTGTATCTATGGTATACTCCACCATTCTACTTTTGTCAGGGAAATAATCAATCTGCTTCTGATAGCAAGAGGGTGAAAATTATTCTAGATTATTCAATAATACCATATTAGCAGCTGATGCCTGACATTATTTCCACCAAAATCATGCTAATACAGAGATGCAGCTGACATTCCCTATTAGCAACGTGAAGGTGAAAGCTTTGGACAAGACTCAGCCATCAGTATAATAGCAAGTACCACACAAAAGAAAATCATAATTAAAATGTTTAAATTACTTTTTTCATGTCAGCTTATAGGACCAGAATGCAGCTACTTCACTCATATGACCTTAGCTCACTCCTGTCATGATGTCACACCAACCACAACACTGCAGCACTTTTAGTGCATGTGGTCTCAAATAAAATTTAATTTTAAGCTTTACATTGACAAAACAACTTTGTTATCCCCATTGTAAAACTGCAGAGTAAGGAACTGGAGTGTGAGTAAAGGCATTCAGCATGGGGTAATATGCATGCTCCTTGAGAGCACTACTGGTTTGCAACATTATCACTGCCATCTCTTTCTGAAATGGCTCAAACTTTGTAGGGCAGTGCTATAAAACCTGCAGAATTCAAGTGCTATCTTAGCTTTTTTGCAAACCTTTCTTTTGACAGAACTTGCAAACAAACTGACAGGCCTGCAAGCCATAAAATGCAACCACCCCACTTGCAGATGCAGCAGTAACCAAAGCACCTGTGGCTCTGCCAGAGGAGAGGGGAGCAGCTGAACACTGATAGAAATCAACTTCCAAAGATCAAACCTCACCTGCTACAGCCACTCCAGGGCCAGCCCGATGGGCCAACCATCTAAATGCAGATGCTTTGGGGCAGAATTCAGTTGCCTGACACCAGAATGACTCCTGAGCTGCCCCAGGGTGTCCAATGTGATCTCCACCCACCACTCTAGGTGGGTGTTGTCTCCTGCAAACCCTGTGTCATTACCTACCAGGCTTGCAGAGATGTGTCAGATACCACTGGGCAGCTAAAACACCACTAGGAAAAAGCTGGGGGGTTGTTTAGTTTTTATTTGTACCCCACTAAAAGCCTATCCCCTTCTTATCTAAATCCACACCAAGTATAAGGAATTGCACTGTAGTGCAGTTTTAACCACCACACCTGGCCCAGTTCTCTGGTAACAGCTGGGTCCCTACAGGTTCTGTGTCATTTCTCTGCAGTATCATCATGGCTCCTGGAGAGGTTAAGAAAAAGCAGAAGGGAGGCCAGCTCCCCAAAAATCACACAGGGAATCATTCCAATTCAACAGTTTAGGCCATGGAGAAAATCTTTACTTACTTTTGATACTTTCTTCTTCGATCCATCAGTATTTTCTGCTTCTTCATGTTCCTTGACACCTTGAGTAAGATTTGTGTAGTTGACCAACTTGCCAAGCAGAGATGACACTTTTGGTCGTATATCAAGTTCTTCCTGTGGAAGAAGACAACAAGTGAACTTCTGCAGCTCACAGCATTTCTGAAGAGTGGCTGGGATCACACCTTCATGGGCATGCCTGAGGCTACCAGGGAACACACCAGGAAAATCATCCATGGAATGACAAGAGTATTTCACTGTGCCTGAACCACTGGTGAGAGGCTTTAATTTTCTGAAAGGAGGGCAACTCTAATAGGAAAAGGCCATGCCAAAACGTCTACAGCATGTGAATCATTCTGCTTAGGTGCTGAAAAGCATAATTACAGCAATAAAGAAGTCTGAGCCTTAGAACTGTGAGAAAATGAATGTGTACCTTGCATGTAGCTCTAACATCAACTTACATCAACAGATATACTTTTAAAAAGGTCAAGCTGCCAAACAAATCAGAGATTCCGTGATTAAACTCTGCTCATTGTAGACATGTATGCACTCTGATGATTTTATTACATTTTCCAAACTATGTTATCTCACTCATGTGGATCTAGACAAAATTCCCAAAAGCCACATGATAGAGGGCTTCCCATCTTTATACTCATCCCAATCAATTTCTGTTTCTGGTTTGGGGGCAGGGGGGACAGAAAAAGCCCCAGCACAAAATCATCCCCTTTTCCTTTGAAATTAAAGTCTTGCATGTCTCATAGCACAGTAAGGAATGTATGGTAAAGAGAAACAACTTTCCACACAGGAAATAAAAACCAATTGAGAAAGATCTCACTATCTGCAGCTTTATCATATCTTTAGTTCTCACCTTGAATAGTTTCTGGTGGGATCAGTAGCACTATGTGCTTTGTACATGATGCAGAAACTGACCCCAAATGGGGTCATCCCTAAAGGGATGACATGAGCCAAGCATCCCTTTTCTTATTCCTTCCTATGATCTGACCTGCAGTTCACATGTTTAAAAACCTGATTACAATTCCTTCCAGAAAGAGGCTGAGACAACATGTACCTCCTGTTCAGCAGAGCAGCATGGCCCTTGGGATCCTGCTGGATCCTCCCTCTACTTAGTCCCCCAGAAGAGCCTGCACACCTGGTGTGGTCCTGTGCTCATGGAAAAGCAGGAGTGCCTGCCTCTGCTTACTTCCAGATGGACAGAGTTACACAGAGTTATAACTCTGCCTCACAGAGCCAGCTGTCATCACCCCTGAGCTCTGTCCTCTCTGCCTACTGGCACCCCAAAAACAGACGGACACCCACAAAAAGGCACGTGGGGGAGAAAGATGTGCTCAATCCCTCCGACCATAGAACATCACAAATCATATGAGAAGTACAAAAAGCAGCTAGGAATTACCTCAAACAAGGCCAGGTTTCTGTCATAGTAATCACCTCCTTTGCCAGCTTCTGAACTGTTCAGGAAAGGACTGTTTTCTTTATGGTTGCCATGACCTGTGAAGAAAAAAAGAAGCAGGTTTTGATAAGCAGAGAATGAGACTGTAACCTTGAAGAATCCATAGGGAATAAACTCATTTGGTTAACTGAATGCTTCTTTTTAGTACCTGAAGTCATACAATGTTAGCAATAGCAAAGGTGCTACTTCTCAAGGTAGAGTTATTTCTATTTCTATTCCTCTGTTTCATTAAAATAGAATAAAATTCACCTCAGAGTAGAATTTACAAGTAAGGGTCCCAGCTACAATGTGCTACAGGCAGCTACAATGCTATGTGTGCCTTTACTCTCTAGCACTCACTTCTGGAACTGTTTCTTGCACACAACAGTGACAAGCACTAGGACAGCTCCTGTGCATTTAGAAATCACTGTTAATGGTAACAGCAGCCTTTGAGCTGTATGTCACCCAGTTAGATACATTTAGTAAGACTGAACACTTCGAAGACTAGATTCTGTAATGGCAATACAGGTAAACAGCCCCCAAAGCACCTTTTCAGTTCTTAAATGCTGTTTGTTATTCACTATGACCACTAATCCCAGACATTCAACACCCTCATGCTTTTACTCTCACTGTGGTTTGAACATTGAAGCTGTGTATTCTTCAGGCTCCTCTTATACTTTCAAATTAAAACCTAATATCAGGTGCATTAAAACTAGAGTATTCCCATATGCAAAGAACAATGTTTATAAAAAGAGAATGGAAGATCAGAAGAGCTTTCTGTATCAAGTAGCAATAGAAAAAAAAAAAGGGCACTACAGTTTAAAACAACCTCTGAAGGAAAAAAATTAAACTGATTTCTATCTTCAAAAAAAGTTCTTGGACCTATGTCTCCCATTACCCTCTGCTCTACAAACAAAAATTCTTTTCTTTTGCCTGTACCTCTTCACTCCCTGCTCCCTTAGCCAATACAAATGAATGATTTCCAAGAGCATCTCCTTAAGAAAGGATTAATCCAAGAATACCTTCTTCTATTTATAAAAGATGTAACCACTACAGAAATTAAAAATGAAAGAAAAAGAAATTATTATCTCAAATGAAAATACTGCAAGTTAAAATACTGTACACTGAGTATACCAAAACAAGAGATTAAACAGCCGGATTTTTGGGTGCATCTTTTCAATTATTACAGTAATCAATTCAACAAGGCTACACTAAATTATTTTAATATAATTCAAGTGGAAAATCTCTCTGCATTTTGAAATTTGAATCAACTTACAAAATGAACCTACAGGTGAAGAGTCCTCCCCTACACAAAGTGATCAACACAAACAGCACTGTCACAAACATAATTGTTATAAGCTAAAAAATTATGAGAACATTCAGTCCTACTCTTACTGAAGGGAAGGCATGCATGGAAAGTAGCACAATTTTCTGGAAATTGCTCACAGGTGCTTTGAAAAGAACTGTTGAAAAAACAATATTCACAAAGAACAGAAGGATTTTTAAGCTTATGTAAGTAAATACTTAGCTGACCAAAAATATATGAAAAGAGCAGCCTAGTGTGTTTATGTGCCTACTGCCTTCCTCACAGCTCTGACAGCTAACCCCAAAATGTGAATGAGCAGCTGCCTTGAACAAGGGGGCTCAGCTTATCTGCTGACCCCACCTACAAATAAGAGATGCTCACTTTGCTGTAATTGTAGAATTTTTTATACTAGTAGAAAAAAATATCAGTAAGCTTAACAACACAGCATCAAAATCAAACAGTTATGAACTTTAGCAAAGCTTAACATCTGCAAAAACTGCTTGCTTGCTGTATTTCTCATGCCTATACTGGAACATACCAGATCAATTTTGCTGCAGTGTGTGCTGCAGTCCCCCCATCCTGTTGTGGTTAAAGCACATTTACAATTTTTGCTGAGGAAATGGAGTCATCTGCCATATACCTTTTACTCATTAAATTGGACACAAATGATAGTGCAAATCATCAACAGAAATACTGTCTGCTTGATTCTTCAAAACTCTGGCCTCTGCAGTATCTTCTCCATTATTCTCATCAAACACAGCAAGGCCATGAGCAACTTTGGTTTCTTCCCTCCATTCCTCTATACACTGGCTCTGGTGACTGAATGTTTGAAATATCAGCCTGAATGTTTGGTTTTTATTACCCCTGAGTGATTTTTAAAGCAATTCTTTGCTGCCTTAGTTTTCCTTCTTCCATGAAGAACCCTAACTTATCACTGTCTCAAGCCAGTACAATGGGTGTTCTTTTACTTGTAACACTTAGAGAAACTGTCAACCTTTTTATGTACAAAATCCCACTCCTGCCAAGATACAGTCATACATTCAATCTCAGTTAATTAAAAAAGATGATAATTCTTTTGCTCTTTCTTGTTACCATAATCCACATAACCTCTCCTTAGTTAAGGAAGATTACTTCATATCACCTCCCTGAGCCTGACAAAGACCAGTGACTCAAGATGAATCTTCAGCTTAATTGATATTATTTCTTGGATGAATCTTCATTTTACCAACAATGAATTTTTCACAACTGGTCTGTTCAGAAGACCTCTCTCTATAAAAAAAGCTTCCATCTTCTCTCTCATTCTCCATTTATACGTTCAAGCATCACTCTGACCCTTCCCATTAGACTTTTCTTCCAAATCTGAGCCCTTGGCATGCTGGCTTTACACACCATCCTGCACACAGGAAGCCCAAATTGAACAGAAAATTCAGTAGAACTAGTGACTGGAAATATAGTGTTGATTTTGCAATTGCTAGGGCACATTTTATTCTCAATGGTTCTGATGACAGAGAAGTACAACTGGGTTTTTACCACTTTCACAGCACTAGCTCCACTGTCCTGAAATAACATACATATGAATTGCTGCAGACAATGCAAAAATAAAAGTGAACTTTCCTGCTGATCTATTGAAGTGCCACTTTAAAGTCCCTCTCAAACACTGTACATTTTCAACAGGAAATGAAGGAGTGTAAGTTTACATGCAAGTTCTTTACAATGACATCCTAGTTTCACATCACCAATAAGCAGAACTGGTGCTGCAGAGACGTGTGCTAACTCAAGACTACTACATGGCTAACTTAAATACAGGTAATTAAATCACAGCCAAAAATCACCTTCACCACAGCTGCATGTTCAATGCAATCTCTTCTATATAAACATGTTCTACATCTTTCTCTCTTCCCATACTGTGTTTCCAGCAAATGACCATTTCCTCAACAACAATCACAACTGTACTTTGACAAAACAGACCAGACTGCAGCACAGTACAGAAACCAGACTGCAAGAAATAAATTTATCCAGTATATTGTGTCTGCCAAGGAGCAGCAGCAGCTTCAAAGAGACTTACTTGCATGGGAAGCGTGTGTTATCTCCATCAGTTTGGGGAGGGAGCGGATGTGACCTCGGAACGCTACCCTGGGGAATTCTTGCCCCGGCTTCACCCGAGGACAGTTCACATTCTGAAGCATGAAGTCTCCTGGGCAAGCACCATCCTGTGACATGTGCACAGTTTTCCACATTCTTAGTTATCAATTCTTTGGTCCTGGCCAGTAGCTATGTGGTGCTAGTTTTCATCATGCAAGATTGATTTGCAAGGAACATTTCTCAAAGAGGGAGCTAAATACACTGCAACAGAGAATAATTTATTTGCCTTAGTCCCTAATTAATCTCAAATTTTGAGGTATTCAAGCTGTATTCCAAGTAGGCTAATGTTTCCTCTTCACTTGTTTCATTGCTTCTCAGTCTTCATTATCTTTGGGTAATTAAGGCATTTTATTTCTGAATGCTACTAGGTCTCTCCCAAACCAGATAATTCTATCTGCAGCCACCACTTCAACTATACAGTTTATCTAAACATCTCCAGCATAGTTCCCTGAACTCAGATATAGGCACAGGTCCAGAGAACAAGTTCCTCATCCTGTGGATCACCTGAGTTCCTTAAAACATCAGAGGTGATCCACGGAACAAAATCTAAAACCCTCAAGTGTGCATGCTCCCACACATGCAAACACACAGGCTCAGGAAACAGAACACAAGCAATAAATGGATGTCCAAACTTTTGCGTCACAGCCAAGAAAAAACACTGTGGCTAAACTGTAGCAGATATTCTACTGACTGGTTTTATTTTGTTCTTCTCCAAAAGGCTAATGTTGTCTTTACTAAAAAAAAAATAATAATAATAAAAAAAAAAAAAATTAAAAGGATTAAGAACACGGAGGACACTATTCAAGTTATGCTTTCCTTCTGGAGGAGGATTAGGCCAGACAGTCTCACTGCTTGAGCATACTGAATGCAAACCTTTTGTGCAAGCCATTGTGTTTTCTTAAGTAACTGAGGGATGAAAACCAAAATTTAGAGAGAATTACAAACAAACATATATGAAAGTAACTAAAAGACAAATTAGTGAAGATAAATGAAAGCTGAACAATTAGGCATAGTGAGACTACTGCAAAGAAAAGACCAGGAAGCTTCACAATGATAAGATTTACTCTGCCAGACTAAAATAATCACTTGAGAAGGCAGCAAGAGCTTTTGCATGATTTGACCTGTCAAGGTTTTATTTTTCTCTGCCAGTTGCTAAACTCCCTTACAAAAAACCACCACTCCCCTACTTCATCACATTCAGGTAAAGAAGCGGAAATTAGTACATCTTAAAAAAACTACAGATTCTTTCATGAGGACATGACTAACCCAGAGAGGCTCACCTCCTTCTCATGGAAATTTTATCTACCTGGCAAGTTTAGATGTGCTGAAGGCACAGATGGACAGAGAACAAAGTGAACAGAGCAATGCCAATTAAGCTAGAGCAAGGTTAAAACATTAGAGAAAAAGCAAATTCTGAAGAGGGCTGAACATTGCTAAGACACTTGTGCCACTTCACTTCTACAGGCACATCACAGCTGAGGCACACACAGCCTGCTCACAGCATCTCAGCCTCCAACAGGCTCTGGAGGCAGGAAAGCTGGACAAAGCTCCAGACACTGCTGGGACCTGTAAGGATGGCATGCAGGGCTGCCAGAACCCTCCCTGCCTGAAGTACCGAGTCTTAAGTGAGGAACTAAAATTCTTCAAATAATTTCAGTGTGAATCAAGGCTCAAGTCAGAGCTGGAACTGAAACACACAGCTTGACCAAGAAACACATTAATTTATTTACCCCTTCATAACTAACAAAGAGCAGGTATTTCCTAGAAAACCAGCTCAAAAGACAGCCCAACACTCCTCTCCTCAATGTAATTTAATTTTTGGAGCAGTGTAAGTGTTAGGATCTCACCTGTAATTGTACTGTGCATGTACAGACTCCTTCGTGTCCACCACAATAACAAGCACTGTGATGAAACAGCCTGTCTAGCAGCTAACACCATGTTTTGCTGTTGTTCACACACTATTTCACAAGAATTACAGGCCACAAAACCTGTGATAGTTAAAGGCACAAACTGAGCCATTTTCATGCACAGGGAACACTACTTCGTCTTTTTTTTTTTTAATTACAACAAAAAAATATTCATACTTATAATATTTCATCTACCAATAACACTGGAATCTAAGATTAGAAACCAGAGTTGATACCCAAGTAGCTGCTGTGGGTTTCCCTTTATACAAGCACTCCAAACAGCAGGCTGTTAGAGCCAACTAATCACACAGGCTCACTCCTCACTCAGAAGGAGATGGCTCAATTAGCCAGCCCCTGGAGTGCCTCTCCTGTGCATGCACCTTGACATGCTGCCAATCACCTCTGAAGAGAGCCTAACCTAAACAAAACCCTAATTTATAGATGTTTTAAAGCGGGCAAAATTTATCCCACTTTGGAAAGCAAGTTAGTTCTGTTCTGATTTATTTGTGCTCAGATTTTCATGTGTCAGTACGTTCTGCAAATTTCTACACAAGTGGTAGTTAAGACACAATTTACTTTAATTTTTGACCACGAAATCAAAATAGGTTTGCTACACTTAACTGTTCTCACAAGACCTAGAAGCAAATGAATACGCCCAAAATAAGTATTCTAGTGGGGGAAAAAAAAAATGGAGAAACAATGAGATTGCTCCAAACAGAAATTATTGCATAATCAGGTTTTCTTAGTCAGATTATTTTGAGGGCATTTGTTCACAGCTTTACGGATGAAGTTTTAACATAAAAAGCTGTCCATGTCCGTTTTTATCACACTTTGGGGGATTGTTTTTTTTTACCAGTTTTTGAGACTCCGTTTCCCAGATGTCAGTAAGGATAATGCTCACACTGTTCCTCCCAAAGGCTGTGTGATGTTCACAGTGCTCGTCACTCACAGGCCACCCAAGACCTGCAGGTCTGAGTATTGCTGAGAAACAGAAAACCTCAACAATCTTCCTGCACTTTGCCAGCACTCCAAGAACCCTGGTATGCCCACATTTCAGCAGCCAAGCAATCAAGACTACTGCTGAAGTAAATCAAGAGACTGTCTTAGGACAACCTAAGAAACATGCAGACAACAATTTGATTTCAAATACATTCCAAGTCTGCTTCCATTCATGTGGTTCCTCACATGTGGCTGGACTAAACAAAACTCTTATTCATTCTCAGAACTGTTGTGGAACATTGTTCTTGGTTCATTCATGAGGCTACACCAAATAATTCAATGTACAATTATGCTTTTGCAGATATCACTGCCTTGATATTTCATTAACAGAAATCAGACATTTAAGTTTCATATTTTTCAAAACTGAAAATAACTTCTTTATTTTGCAGTAAGAAAAAGACAGAAGTAGCAAAGTGATATTCCGTGCTCAGAAAAAAACATTTCTCAAAATGTTTTGAAAACTGCATTAGGTTCTTGTTTTGAGGCTGGGCTGGTTTAGGTGTGGGGGGGTTTTCAATAGAATTATTGTATTTATTGTTGTATACACTAGAAATAGGAGAAACAGGAAATAACCAGCATTGCATCTAGTTAGATAAAACTCATTCACACTACAAACTAGGCACTGCTAATGAAATAACTAACTGAAATCTGTTAATGCCTGTTCACACAAGACCTTGGGCTACCAGGTCTTTTCCACTGAAGGTGGCAGAAAGTACAAGCTGTAAAATCCCAGCTGACCCAGTATTTTATGAAAATAAAGGCCAAAGTCACACTAGATAAGAACCCATGCAACAATAAGGCTTATGAGAGGAAAGCACAGCAGAATGAAAGGACAGATCTTCCCCTGGATAGCTTTGAGATCCTCTGTTCAAACGATCACTTTCACTGGCAACACTGAACACTCAACATTTCCATCAGAAACTGCAGCTTAAACACCAAACTACTGACATTCATTCTCATTTTAATAGTACATGCTGTTTACTCACTATTATAACAATATTATGTTATGTAATAACATTATTTACTTCACTGTTAATTGACACTGTCAATATAGTTTGGAGTTTACTGGATTTTACCCAACCAGTAAAGCTGTAATTCTCAAAACTGACTGCATTGCACATAATACATTGCAGTACACATTTATTATCAGCAACAACAGTTATGGCACCTACAAAAGTCACACAAAGAAAGCCTAACTGTACCCAAAAAAATAAAACAAAAAGCTGTATTATTGATAACATATTCATTCCTCTGAACCAGTTCAGATTTAAAAAGATGGCACTTGCTCGTGTCCTGCTTGAAAGAAACAGCCAGAACTTTCTCAGACAACACCCTATGCAACAGATAGGCTGGAGCAGAGTACAAAATTAAGTATACAATTAAGCACAGATCTTGGATTTATCCCTAGATAAACATGTGTGAAGACTTCTACTGTACTTTGCAAAACTAGATTAGAGAATAGCCTTACCCATCAAGTTGCCTGACCCTAGACAACTCGAAGGATTTAACCATTTAATAATTCTGTGTTTCAGAAAGCACTATGACTTTATTTTTCAGTTAAAATACACTGATTTTTTCAGAACACTACAATTCTTTGTAGGTGATAATATCAACAAGGTACTTACCCTTTAGCAATAGCTCTTTGACATTTTCAGTAACTTGGTTTACCATTATTCTTCTTTCAGCTCTTAGTACATGTTTTAGTAAATGCTTCCTCTGTGAAGTCCTGAGGATTGGACAACTTCAATAATATTGTATTTCCAAATGAACTTTTTCTACCTGCTTTGGAAAAGTGCTGGCTGCAACGTTGGACTGATCTCCTCCAGGAAGCAAGAGTTCCTTACAGAAAGCTAAGCCGACACTGATATAATCCTGGCATTAGAATCCTTTCAACACCAAGACAATACACAAATATCAGAATCTTACAGAAAATGCTACTTGTCAAATCCAAGCCCAGCCACATTTAAGAGGCAAACTGCAGCTGTTTGCACACTTACTCAGAAAAGTGTGCCACAGGTCTGCTGCTTGCTGAGTGTGGAATCACAGGGTTTTAAACCTGCTAATGCCATGAAAAGTGCAGCTCTGTGACGTTAGCCCTGCAGGCACTGCAGCTTTCAAGTGAAAATAGTGATCTGTTTCTTTCCATCTTCAATACATTAGAATATGATGACCCATTAATGGATGAACCACATGCAAGATCACACAAAAAAAAAACCTAACTAGCAACAGCAGGATGAAATAGGAGGTTTATACAAGATACACAAGAAATAATAACTTAATGATTCTAAGCACTTC